TTCCTTCCTTCCTTCCTTCCTTCCTTCCTTCCTTCCTTCCTTCCTTCCTTCTTCCTTGCTTTGCTTTGCTTTCTTTCTGGATCTATATGTAGCCCTGACTGTCTTGCTGTCTTGGAACTCTCTAGATCAGGTTGGCCTCAGATTCAGAGATCTGCTTGCCTCTGAGCCCTGAGTAATGAGATTAAAGGCATGTACCACTATGCCCAGCTTGCCACGTGTTTCTTAAAGTATTACGTTTGTTTCAGCTGACACTGTACTTAATGCCACACCACATTCAGGAAGATACCATGGCTTGTGAATGTTGCCCTGATTTCCAGCGCCTGCTCTGTGTGTGTGTGTGTGTGTGTGCATGAACTGTGGTCATAAGTCTATGTGCATGTGGAGGTCAATCTCGGGTGTTGTTCCTCAGAGCTGTCTACCTTGGTTTTTGAGACAGTCTCTTACTGACCTGGAACTCACCAAGTATGCTAAGGATTGTTGACCAACAGGCCCTTGGGATCTGCTGTTTCCATACCCTTAACACTAAGATTCCAAGTGCATGCCACCATACCCAGATTTTTTTTTTCAGATGGGTTCTGGGGATCAAACGCCTGTCCTCACGATTGCAAAACAGATACTTCACTGCGTGAGCCATCTCCCTCCCCCGATTATATTTTTTCAGTTGCAGGAAGGAGTTGTCTGGTAACTGCGGAGCAACTGCCATGGTTAGGAAGTATGGATACCTTTGCCAAATTCACACAGAAAATCTTTACCCCAGTGTTTCCAGGTGCAACTTCACAGATTGAGAGGAACATGATTCTCCTAGCTCATTTGTCTTGGAAAATGTATTAATGTGAACATAAGGTGATCACATCAGGCACATCTGGAGGGCCTTCCTGATGGCTAGGTCTACATTTCCTGATAACGTGATGTGAAACTTCTCTCATTACTAACCCCATTTGCTCCCCAGTCCAAGTAGCTGCATTTTCTAACCCTGTAGTAGAACTGTGAAGACTTAAGTCATGTTCACACTTCCTTACTTGTAAATTTTAGAGGACAACACTAGCAGGGTGACAAGAATCAAATGCCTATAAAGTTACCCACTTCACGTGGACTGCCATCTCCTGGCCTCTCCTGGCATTACTGGACATGACACCATGTCTAGGAACACATCCCAGAAGATCGCTGTGCCCTGCTCTGCTTCTCAGACACCATCCCTGCAGACTTCTGCTCTCTCCCACTCCCCTCCACGTTGTCTCTGCTCTAGCTGACACCCCAGAGGCTACATCCACCACTCTACAGCCAGACATCTGCGGGGTTTTGGTACCAAGCCATTCCCACTCCATTCTTATTGGGTCATGTGGGGTTTTTTTTTTGTTTTTTGTTTTCTAATTTCTTGAGTTCTTTACAGATTTTGGATATTTGGCCACTGATGGATATAGAATTGGTAAAAATCTTTTTCCATTCTGTAGGCTGCCTCTTTGCCTGATTGATGGTGTCCTTTACTTTACAGAAGCTTTTCAGTTCCATGAGGCCCCATTTATTACTTACTGATCTTAGTGCCTGGACTACAACTTTACCTTCTTTGACCCAACTTCCTGTCACTGCCTGGCCTTTCTCTTTTGTGTTACAGGCAATGGAGAGAGTTGTATATTTACTTTGAACTTCAGTGTTTTAAACTGATGTCAGTAAGAATTTGTCACCTCTAAGACCTGTGACTGTCAACCCAATGTCCAGTTCACCGTTTTCCTGCTGTGTCTCACCTACTGACCACCCCCTTCCCTGTGCAAACACCCATCCCCTGCCCCCTCCCACCTTACTGGGTCTCCTGCCCATCCCCTCTGCTGAGCGTCCCTCTGCTCTGCAAGCTGCTTTCACCTTGAAGTGCCCAGGGCCTAACCCTTGCTCCTCACTCTATTTCTGCCTGGCCCCAGACTGATTCTTACCCCATCCTAAGCTGATGATTCCTGCAATAGCTAATACTGACTTTGAACTTAAGGTCCTGGAACTTGAAGTCAGTGCTAGGCTTGCTAGGACTGGAAGCCCTGTCATCAGAGTCCATCTGTCATCGGTGTCCATCTCTGACTCTAGCCCAGCCTAATCTCTAGTGCAGACTCTGTGTATCATTCCTATGCATGAGAGTCTTCACTTCTCCAGATGTTTACAACACTTCACACACCTTTTACAATTGCTTCTTAAATTCTTTTACTCGTGAGGACAGCAAGCTGACTCATCAGGAAAAGACACTTTCCAACAAGACTGACAAGCCAAGTTTGGTTTCTGGGACCTACATAGTGAAAGAAGAACTGATTCCTACGAGCTGTCCTCTGGCTTCCACACACACATGCCATGGCACACAGCTACCCCACACATTCTGGTTTGTAACTGTACAATTGTAAAAACTCCTTTCTCTGTTACACTAAATATATATATACAGAAATTAAATTTATTAATGTCAAAAATGCTGACTATAAACTTAACAGGATCTAGATTCCCCAAGAGGGCATGCCTACAAATGAGTTTCCTGATTGGTGTGGACTGCATTGTGAGCAATGCTTGACAAGGCTCCAGCATTTCACACTACAGACCACACTTCTCCAGCACCTTTTTACTCTCATTTTTAATGATTCTCAAAATTAATGACTTTTTCTTTGGAAAATTTTGTGTGGGTTTTGATAAAAGGATAAAAATGTGTACAATGGTAACCTCTCTAAACAAAGTAATTCTTTGGGGAAAAAAATCCCACCACCTTGGAATCAGGAATTCCAATGTCTCCTCCTAATCACACCAAGAACAGGAATGTTAGAGATTTACTAGACACTCCTGACCCCAAGAATGAAATGTCTACCAGTTCTAATCCAGAGCCTTAGGCCATCAAAGGTAAGATAAGAGTTCAGTTAATAAATACAGAGAAATCAGAATGGTACAGAATAATGGGAAAAGAATAAGACATCAGGACGTTCCCTGTTCCCTTTCGGGAGCGTCATGAGGGGGACAGGCCCATATAGTAAGTCTAAGAAAGTGTACTGTAGTGTCTGCTCCAGAAGAAGTCTTTTTCCTCCAGAGTCAGGCGTCTGGATTAGGGTCTCCATTCCCTGGAGGCTTGAGGAAAGTTCTTGTGTGATAAAGTCGACATTCTTATCTCTAGCAAGAGGAACTTGTGACCCTTCCCTTAACAGGTGACTACTGCCTGTTGCCAAGGTCAAAGGTAGATTCCTCAACCCCTGATCTCAAGCCACAGCCTCCAGCTCAGGTGTCCCTGTCTCCAGTTTTAATTCTAAATGCAACTATACAGTACAAAAGGTGTTCTCAATAAAAGACTGCTGGCAATCATCCCGATTCACCCTCAGTTCCTGTCCATCTCCTCCTCCTTCCTCTGCTGACTCCGCATGTCCTCTTTCAGACCTTGAACACCCCTCCCCTCAAGTGTGACTGGAGCCATCGCAGGGACTGGGGGCCTGGACTGAATAAAATAGAGCTAGCTGAGGACCAGCATCTCCCACTTCCTAAGGGTGCAATGGGACCAAAGCCCCACGCTCCTGACACCATGACTTCTCCCCTAGACCTGTGAGCTGAAACAAACCTTCCTAAGTGGCTCTGGCCAGGTATCTTGTCACAGCAATGAGAAAGACCTCTAGGCTCACCTGCCAAATTGTACCTGCTGCCTGTTTGTTTGGCCTTCCACTGAAATGCTGAATGCATACCTCACCTTGGCCTGGACGGTAAGCTTCCTATGAAACCAAGACTTCTCATCTCTGAGGACAGCACTCCATCTGCCATGTAGAAAACCTCCAGTGTCAACCTAGCTTCCTGCTATCTTCCCTTATTCTTGTTCTATTCATCAGCAAATCTGTTAGGTTCATCTTCAAGCTAAACCAGTAACTGGAGATCTTGTTTCCTGTCGTCATTATTACTCCCTTGGCCAGGATACAATCCCGACTCATCATTTCTCTCCAGGATTACTGTGATGACTTCTAACTGGAAGCCCTTAGGAAGCAGAGATAGACAGATCTCCATGCGTTCTAGGCCAGCCTACTGCATACAGTGAGGTTGTCTTAAAAAAAGAAAAAAAAAAGAGTGGCAAAAGGGAACCAAGCAGTGTGTGCTCTGTGCTGGCTGTGGATACAATGTGACCAGGTGTGTGTGCTCTGTGCTGACTGTGAATAGAATGTG